TGATATGCAAAACAGTAAACTCGCTTTATTTATTATTTGTTTCATTCAATGAACGTCAAAATATTTTACTCTTGTATTTATATCCTAGTATACATTTATGCATTTATACGAATATCTAATGAGATGCATAATACAAAATAACCATATGCATTTTCAACGCTTAAAACCAACTGATTTATAATCTGTACGATCTAATAGACAGGAAAAAAATATTTTGACAGTCATTGAATAAAACAAACAATAAATAAAGCGACTTTTCTGTTTTGCATATTAAATTTACTGAATAAATTAGATATATGTATAAATGTATACTACAACGTTTCTGCAATCGAGTATATATATATATATATATATATAATACAGCATATATATATAATACAGCAGTTGAGTAGACTTATTTTTCAGGGATCACGCATTACGTAAGCATATCTGAAGATTATCTTGTCCTGGAGTAGCGAGTTTTTTTATTCAAATTAGACGCATCACTTGGTGTTTTATGGAATGTTTAAGACGTTTTGCCGGTGGACACCTTTAAGCGATATTGATGTGGATTGTACTATACGTGAAGTAATCCGTTGTATACTTCCTCTATTTCTCGATCTCACAGAAATTCCAGGCATCGTGCGGCAAGTTTTTAATATTCCCTCATTCTTTATTCTTAACCATTCAGTCTAAATTCCATGATTCACCAACTTCTTTGGTCACTCAATCTGATTCAGGAAAACCTTTGAACTATCTAAATTCATTGCTCTTTGTTTTCGAAGTCCTGTGATCTTGACCCAGCACCTGCCAATGTTCTTAATACATGTTTTGGTACACTTCTTCCTGTTCGTACTAAGATTGTTAATCATTAACGACTTGTACTATGCCATCTGAACTGAAGGTTGCAGTCATAAGACCTATTCTCATGAAACAGACACTGTCTCCAGAAGAGGAGTTTCATAGCTTTTGACCGATTTCACACTTAAAGTTTCTTCCCAAAGTCATTGAAAACGAAGTTGCCTCTCAACTGGTCGAATATCTTGAACGTAATGCCCTTAATGGAACTTTTCAATCGGCCTATAAGAAATTTCATAGCGTTGAAACAGCTCTTCTCAGAGTTCACAATGATATTTTGGAAAGCATTGAAAGTCAAGGCGCTGTTATCCTTGTCTTGTTTGACTTATCAGCGGCTGTCAATACTGTTGACCATGGTCTGTTGCTAAAAAGGCTTAACATTAGGTACGGCATTAATGGCTGGACTCTTCATTGGTTTTTAAAATCTTATCTATCTGAAAGATCTTTTCGTGTCAAAGTACAGAGTGGCTCATTTGAATCTCGTAATTTTTCATGTGGTGTTCCACAGATTCAGTTTTAGGTCCTATCCTTTTTCTCTTGTATACATCTCTTGGTGCGGATATAGTACGGAAGTATAACACTGACTTTTATTTATATGCTGATGATATACAGTTATACTTTATTTTTCCTGCATCCTCTTCAACAGAACTTGCAATTGCGAAGACTTAAAAAGAAGCTTGACGTTGACAGATGGATGGCTGGCAAAAAGTTAAAATTAAATGGCGATAAAACTGAAATTCTGAAATATCAAATTTTCATCGTCCTCGACCACCTATTGTTTCTCTTAATATAGCTGAGACAGAGATCTTCCCATCTCTTCTTCCAATCTGCAAGGAATATTAAATATTGGAGCAATTTTCGACGAGAAATTCACATTTGATGAACATAACTGCTGTGTGCAAATATTGTTTTTTCTTATTCATAAAGTGCATGTGAGACTTTTGTCCATGCCTTCATTACATCTAAACTTGACTTTTGTAACTCTCTTTTATGTGGGCTTTCAAAATCCTCTTTCCAGAAGCTTCAGATTGTTCAAAATGCAGCGACGAGGCTTGTAACTTTGAGTTAAAAGCAAGACAATATATTACTCCTATCTTGTATGACTTACACTGGTTGCCAGTGGAACAGCGAATTATTGTCAAAATCGTTTTGCTTACCTTTAAAGCTCGGTACAAAATAGCTCCTTCTTACTTAAGTGATCTTGTCAAAGCTTATGTTCCCGTTCGAATTCTTAGATCTTCCTCTTCAAATTTATTAGCCACAAAGTCTTACAAACTTAAAACATATGGTAGTAGATCCTTTTCTTGTGCTGCCCCTGAATTGTGGAATTCTCTTCCTCCAATTTTAAGAGCTTGCACTTCTATCTCAATTTTTTTAAAAAAAGTAAAAAGTTAGCTTTTTAAACAAACTTTTCTTAAAGTGCTACGCTGACGAAAATCGCTCAAACTTGGATTCAGCTGAAACTTCCTAAGAATATTCTTTAAAGGTCCAATAATCACTGTATGAAGTGTTTTCTCGATATTCAGTACGAAAGTATGATATTTTAACGATTATTTTTTGTAGTCTGTGACGTCATAAACTCAACATCGAACATCGCTCCATACATTTCTTTGTAATTTATGATCAAAATATCAGTAGTAAAGGGAGAAAGAAATACCCAAACACCCCAAAATATAAATTATAGTCACAAGTAATGTGAAATAAGCACATTAGCCACCCTTTGGGCTTCATAGGAATAAAATGAATTAAGGATTTATATACAGCCATTGCATGTGGCGCTTATACAATGTATCAGAGTTTATTTGATACTCAATGTAGTGATGGGGTGTGTGATTGAAAGTGGGCCAGATTGGAAACCAGACTTTAACGCTGTATTTGACACCCACTTCAAATAAAGAATACTTATTTTTTTATTATTTAATTTTATATGGGTGTGCAAAAGCCATACATTGAAAAAACACGATTTGCAACATGCTTGGTCAGCATGATAGATAGGGGATACAGAGCAAAGAAGAATTCGTGCTGCCAGTGCCGTTTTACCTTCACTGACCTGTAAATTATGCGTCTTGAGGTAGATCTTTGGCTGTTTTGCCGTCAAAGAGTTGACCTCATATTCCTCTTTGCAGTTCATGTCAGAACTATTGTATCATTTAGCAATTACACTACGAGATCGTGTTTTCTAGGAGTCAATAGATAGTCGGTGAGTAGTGTAGCGCCGAATCGACTATTTTACTCATAGGAAACGAGAACGAGTATTTCAATTGTTTTCGCATAAACCTACTTGCTAATATTATAGTTTTGAAAAAAAAAAAAAAAAAAAAAATGTCACTGAAAACTTTACTGAAAAAACGACGGTCAACCGACGGCACTGTTTTCATTCATCTTTGCGAACTCGACTAGAAGTCTTAACGTATTTATCTTAAACTTGCTCTATTGCTCTATTACGGTCAAAACTCTCTTTTCGATATTATTCACCTTTTTATCTTTTTCGTTTAGGGGTGGGGGATTTTTCTGATTAAATAAGTGAAGGGGTCTTTTAGAACCCTTTGGAATTTTAACTTCTTTTTGGCTTCTTTGAGGAAATTCTTTATCTAATAAAGATCCCATTTGTAATCGGTATTCATAGCCTAATTTACTGGTATAATGAAGCAAACACAACCAAGTAACTGAGGTGTTAGTTGAAGGAGTTCCGACCCGACCAAATGTTAGCTGAAAACTTTAGCAAATTCAACTTAAAGTACAGCAGCGCAGATAAAAATTCTATAAGGCCGTTGTAGAAAACCGCATCTGAAAATAACTGGCAATATTGCACCCGCCATTGCTTGAAGTTGTCTGGGCTCCGGATCGGGAATTAAAGACAAATAAACAGTTTTGCTCATTATGCTAACATTTCAGTTAGTATTACACGCTTAAGGTAATTCCCTTGAAAGAAATTTTGCCAGTAACTTTGTCCTGAAACTTTGCATGGACATTAATTATGTTATGGACACTTGAAAACTGCAATAAAAAGGGTGACCCAAGCAAAAATAGGTATATGAGCTCAGTTGAAAAGCAATACTTGGTTTGTACGCTTATGAGAAATTGCGTTGCCTACTATGGTGGAAATATTATTTCTGAGTTATCTAACTTAGATCCTCCAACCCTTGACAGATATCTTACATAAACCTTCAAGCTATGACTGCATTAGATTGCATTATTTCAAGCGCGATCAAGTTGGTTTGTGAATTGTACCATTGTAGTCAATGGATCTACTCCAGCCCTAAACATTATATAGTTGTTAAATGTTATTAGAATATTTACTCCAGTTTGTGACTCTTCTTGACGAACATTAATTATTTCCAAGTGAAATGAAGTCATATCTCAGTACATTGTAACCGTTGAACAGGCGGGACATTACACACAGTACAAATACCATTATCAACAAGGGTTTGCCTTAGTTTTGAAACTGAGATACTTGGCTTTGAGGTCTTGCAATACTCTATACATTCTATGACGGCAAAAGTTGAAACAGTGCATTCTTTCCATCATGGCTTTCCAGGGATAGGTGTTCCGTCGGAAGTGAAACAGTCAATAAAGTTTGAGACTGTTTTACGAGAGAGGCTCGTTCGCTATCCAATTTCTACTGGTGAATAACCCAAAGACCACACACCAACTACACTATATATTTTTTCTGTTGAAGTGGTTTGATTTCGATTGAAATACTTCAATATATTTTTTTCCTGTGCAACTTTGATTATCAACAATGTACTGGTACAATTTACCGAGCAATTTGCTCGCGATTGTTGCCACTTGCTCAGAGGAAACGAGCAATCAACGTTCCTATAACGCAACGTTGCAACGTCACCGGGAAAGGAACATCCGTTTTCACCGTAAATAATCTAACAGCCGATGTTAACAAAAATCATAGATGTTTAGCTATGAAGCACATTAAAAAATGTTTCTGATAATTTTACAATTTTTTAAATAGCAATTTAGCTCGCCCCCATTTCACGCAAAAGTATGTACTTTTCAGACAAATAGCAACAATTCTTGCTGATTTTGACGGTTTCGACAATGGACCAATCATCAGAAATTGTAATTGCATCTGTTGTTGCATCTGTTTCTGCTGCTGTTGCTTCTGTTTAAACAAGTAAGCTTACATTTGATCCTGTTTTTTCATTTTTAACTTATTATTTAACTTATAATTTATTTATATTTCGTGTTTCCTTATTTCAGGGTCAGTAATGTTCCTTTGATTTCATGTAATCGAGTGCATCAWTTCCCTTCCTATTTCTACTGCTTCCTGGCTTGAGTGAAACACTGGTAGAACTGTCTGAGTCTTTTTTCTTTTCTGAATTGCTAGAATCAGCCTCTACTATTTTGGAATGGCTTCATATCTTGAAGGCCTTGTCTCTAATCGACATAGCCTTGGCCCTTTCAGATACTTGTGTCTGCGGAGGTTTCCATTTGTTAGATATGGTACTGCTTATTATTGCTTGAATCTCTTCCAAGGCTTGTTGTAGTTCAGCTTCAGAGAGATCTTCAGGATTACAGGCAGATGAGTTCTCCTCTTTTCTCACCTTAGCATTGAAGTCCGGTGCCCAACAGCTTATTAAACCTCTCTCTATGTGCGTTGATCCCTTGAAGACTCTTTGAAACTACGGAATTGGGAATTTCAGTTCATTTTAAGCCACCTTCTTTTGAACCAACTCTCTCAAGGTAAGGCTGCTGCAGGCGCATTTCCCTCAGCAGTGCTATATTTTTTTCATTATCCCACCTAAAAATGCTGCTAAAACAATAATTGATTCACGTACGTAATTTAGAATTTGTAAGAATATTAACATCCTGAAATAACACAACACTGAATAATATACCATAGACCTATTGTGGTGGTTTAGAGCTTATTAATGGATAGAGTGTAAATGAATTTGGAGGAACGATTGCTAAAGTTACTATGGAAAGGGATAAAATGCAAGCCATTTATAAGCCTTGTCACTTTTGAGAATAACATATAACTTTCCTTAGAGTTTATAATAGTTAAAATTTAATATTTAATGAAACGTTTTTCTCACTTGGTCCTTGTAGGCTGTGCTACTGGAATCTTTACACTAAAAAATAATAAAAAATTGATGAGTTAAGTGTTTGAAATATTATAGCTTAATATCAATAGAAAGTTTTACTTACCCATTAACTTGAAACGCCTTTGCTCACTGCATTAAAGAAAAAAGAAAAAAAGAAAAAAAGAAAAAAAGAAAATACTAGTTGAGAAATAAAGAACAAGCGCGGGTAACTTCGTTAGTGTTTTAAGGCAAAAACACAATCGGAATTTTCACCAGAACGACAACTTGGCGATGTGAAAATGTTCTGAAAAATCAATAAGTCATTTTTTTGGCTTTTAGTATATAAAAACGATAGTAATTTCTACTCACAGATAGACTGAACGGTCAGCCAAAGATATATGGCTTCTGCCCAGTCTTAAATACAAATTATATATTTGGGAAAAATCGTCTTGTCTTTCTCAACACTTCTATGCGCTCTGCCGAAGAGCTTTTTACAAAGGGTCTCGATATGCTCATCAAAGGACAGCTTTTTGATTAATTTGGACTCCCAGCAGCCTGAGCGAGGTCACTTGCTCAAGTTCAGAGGAATTTACTGTGCGCGGGATACTACAACCGGGACCACTATGAAAATATAGTATCATTAAGCAATCATATTGCGACATTTAGTTCAATATTTTTAGCCCATCAGATAGCGCATCGATATAATAAGAGCGTAAGAGCGTGATAATATGATTGGCTAACACTGTTATTACTTCAATTTCTGTCTAGTTTACCGTTATCTGATTGGTCAGTTTTATTCACCTTTTGTACCAACACTTTCTTCGCTATGGACTCGCCTGATTCAATTCCTAAAATTTCAAATTTGAATAATTAGCTTTATTATATGCCAAGGTAATTTCACGCACTACGATTTGTCAATTGGCGGTCCATAACTTACGTTATTGACCGAAAAATGAAATGGTTCACTGAGTGTACTTTTAGGAGACGAGAGGGTATGATAGCAAATGATGGCGGTGGAGGAAGAAAGTTAGAAGGTTCTGGAGGAGGTAGCGGTATACACCCTATTGCGGACTCGAAAGAAAATTGGTCTGGCCGCGGTGAGTGAATTTTTAAGCTGTGCTCCTTAGTGATGTTGAGCCAGCTAGTAATCCCACGTTACTGTGATTTATCTTGTTCTTGTAACGCAAATAATAGTTTTGAAGTTGAATGTGTTTCCTTGCTTTTTGACTTTTATCTAAACCAGGATTCTTGAGAAGGTTATTCATTTCATCTTTTAAGTTTTGCATTCTTGAAATCTCTGGGGGCAGTGCAGGATTTTGTCACTCAAGTTACTGGAGATATTCCCGAGAAACATTTTCCTCTTGCTCTTTCTCCTCTCCTGGAAAGATATTGGTTCTCAATCCGCATCTGGGGTGGTTGTCTTTAAGTTAATAAACGGATATCCATAAGGTCTACTCATTGAGCGTTCACATTTTGTGATAAAATATTCCGTTTCCCTGTATACACTTGGTTGGCTTGAGATTGTGAATTTAAAGTTTATCTCAAGGATTTTTAAATATGACGAAATAATGACAATTCACACTAATGTCTTGATTTACTTTGCCTTGATGGAAATATATTCTGTATCATGTAGATAACCCTTAGGTTGCGATGAAGTGATCCTTGGCAAACAAAGAAAAGTTTAACATTTCCGGTTTTGGCAATGTGGTCATCAATCACTATAGGATTTCGTATATTAACGTTAAAAAAGGAAATCATTTTCAAGTTCCTGAGAAATACCTCTAACAATTTCGATGCCAGGTACTTTTAGGATCTTGTAAAACATTCAATTCAAATCATCGTTAAAAAATATTTCTGGATGAAAATTGCCGAAAGACCTTAATATATTAAAGATAACTTATTAGTCCAAAAGCATAAGCAAGCTGAAAGTCAAAACATTTAATGTAAAACTTCATTATATAAAAGCGACAACGTTTTTGATCAAGGCTCTACACAGTACTAGTTGAGCGATTTTGTACGACTTTAATGAAACAAAAAAACTAGGTTAAATACCAACTAGTGGGTGGCGAATGGTTAATAGTAAATGAAATAAAGACTTACAAGAAGAATAACCATTACTTTGTTATTTCAGTAGGCCTACAACGTCAAGTTTAAACTTATCTGAATCTACGCATTCTAGATGATGGCATATTAATCCAAATTTTTTTATTAGGTTCATGCACTCCGTGTTCTTGAGACTTCTTATATTTTCGTTCAGACACTTTACTCTTCTTGTTTGGTAGACTTACCGTTTCATGGTTGTTCATGATGGTTCTGTACAAGCATTAGTGCATGATCTACGGGTTGGGTGGAATTGGTTTCTAACATGACTCTGGACATTTTGCCCAAGTAACCCAGTATTGTACCTCTGTGTCTAATGCCTCGTAGAGGCGAAGCCACTATATGTCATCGACTTAAGTAAGTCCGTAACACCACAGGGAGCCCAAAAGTTCTCAATCCATAAACTTCGGGAATAAAGTTGTTGTTCTCGACACGGCTAGAAAACCGCTTATTAGCTAATTTAGATATCGACTGAGAGTGCGCATTGTGGTTTACCGCTGAATTTATCGCAGGCGCGCTGACAATAACGGACGAGGAAACGATTCCTGTTGAGCATTTTTCCTTCCGAAAATCGCAGTTTTTATCTCAAACACCTGGATCATATGCCGTAGTTTAACAAGAAAACGATACGGACGAGTAACACGATGCCCGATAGATGGTGAATTGTCAAGTTTTCAGTCTGATTCGGACAAAAACAAGCCATCGAGTAAGCTTACTTGGATAAAAAGACAGATAAGGAATATTATTGTTTTCTTGTTCTAAGTCTATTTCAAATTTCTGAACTTGAAAAGCTCATCGATTGTCAAGATATTCAAGTAAATATAGTCAGGGATGCTGTAAATTTTAAAAATCGCAATAAAAGTTATAGATGAACATGCCTTTACCCCGATCATCATGTAAAATACCTTACTTATAAATTCTGGTACTCGCACATTTCAACCAATTTCAATAACGTGAGGTAAAATCATAGATATGCCTTCGTTTGGGGATTTACCAAACAAAAAACACAACGAAAAGCAAAAAAACAATAGTAAAAATAAATTATTCAACCAGTTTCATAAAGCCTGGTTCACATATGATCGCAGACGATCGCAGACGATCACAAAGGATCGCTGGCGATCGAGTGCGATTATATGTGAACAGCTCTGCGATCGTCTGCGATCGTCTGAGATCGGTTGCGATCGGTTGCGATCGGTTGCGATCGTTTGCGATCGTTTGCGATTATATGTGAACAGAATTCTGCGATCGTGAGATTGGAAGGTGTCCCACAATGCTCAGTTTTCCATNTAAATTGAAAAGCGCAATATAAAACACTCAAATGCAAGGTAAATCTCCAGGTTAAATAGTAAGCTAAGCGATAGTGAGCTAAATTAAACTAAAAAACGTCTCTCACAATAAATTGTAGATTTCCGAAGTGCAGCACTACTGCCCAACTAAATTCTTTTATTCAAACAAGGATATCTTTAAAACAATTCCGTCTTATTTAACCATTTTTGTGAGAAAAACACAACTTTGTTTACATAATTATGCATGCATGGTGAACGAAGATCTTCCTTTTCAAATGATTATATTTCACTGGTATTCCATTCAATTTGCTTGATAAGGCCTTCTTTTGCTTGTGGTAAATGTCACGAATACAATTTTACGATTAAAGTAGCTTTCAAGCATTGAAAAACGCTGCATTTCGCAGCTGATTTTCAACGATTCAGACATCACTTTGCAGATGATGCAAGGTCGATCATAGGTCGATCATGAATTCAAGGAAAACCAATTTTACTAGATTTTGTCTGTTAGCCAATCAAAAGCAGCGCCAGGCTCACGAATCAAACAACTGATAAAAACTGGTTTTTGAGTTGAAGACATTCAAACTAAATACTGTGCAACGAAGCTTCAAATCTACTACGAGTGATTCACTGGAAAGTTTTGGTTCAAAAATCATCATTATCGATAGAAGGAAGTATGAAGGAGTTCAAGTGGCAAAGTCATAACAAAAAAACTGGTTTTGTGCTACATTTGAGGATGTAAACAAAGCAAAAATCATCATCACAACTCAACTTTTATCGGAGAGAGTTTCGGAGGAATTTTATTTCAGGGACATTTCTTTTTTTCAATTGTCATTGCGGTAAAAATACGGTCCATGTAATAACAAGACTCTTCATATAGATAACCAAATTTCTTTATGTAAAATTTATCATATAATGCCAAATAGCTTGTATAGGAGGATTTATACAGCTTGTTTAGTAATAAAAAAGCATACAGATGGACGTGAATGATTAAAAGTGTTAATTTTAAGCCAGTTTTAACATTGCATTTACAAAAAACACTGAACCGTGTCTTCTCACACTGTTTTGTAATAACCATGCCAAGCGATCACTGAAAAACCCTTCATTTTGTTTATCCTTATCAATGACTTCATAATGTACATATTGTAAACACAAATATTTTGCGTGTTGATTAAAGGAGAACCAAACTTGCGTATTGCCTATTTATTGAAGTAGCTTCCAAAGTCCCTCTCTTAGGTTTTCAAACCAAAAAAATTGAATTTTCGCTGAAGTTTGCAAGTGTTTAAAAAAATTAATAAACAACGAATGGCAGTTTGTCCATTGTCATGCTAGTTTGGCTGATAAAACCATTCTAATTCATTATTTTCTAAAATGGAAAATCCCTAAATAATTTGGAACCGGTTAGTACTAGTTGAGCGATTTTGTACGACTTTAATTAAACAAAAAACTAGGTCAAACTACCATCTAGTGGGGAATGGCTTATAGTAAATGAAATAAAGACTTACAAGAAGAATTACCTTAACTTATCTCAGTAAGCCTACAACGTCAAGTTTAAACTTATCTGAATCGACGCATTCTAGATTATTGCATATTAATCCAACTTTTTTTATTAGGTTCATTCAATCCGTGTTCTTGAGACTTCAAATGATTTCGTTCAGACACTTTACTCTTCTTTTTTGGTAGACTTACCGTTTGTTGTTCATGTTGGTTCTGTACAAGCATTATTGCATAATCTACGGGTTGGGTGGAATTGGTTTCTAACATGACTCTGGACATTTTGCCCAAGTAACCCAGTATTGTACCTCTGTGTCTAATGCCTCGTAGAGGCGAAGCCTAACACCACAGGGAGCCCAAAATTTCACAATCCATAAACTTCGGAAATAAAGTTGTTGTTCTTCTATCGAATTATTGTTTTTTCAAATAATATCTTACAACACACACAAACGCATAAAACAAAGCATATATTGCCCATTACCATTCTCAATAAACAGCTACCAATTTCCTCCATTCCTTTCCTATATAACAATAATTTCTTATGGCAGTAGCCACATGCGCTTATTGAGCGCCTTTGTTTTCAATTCTTCAAACTCTTCCATAGTTAAAGCAACTCCATATACCATTGGAACTTTTACTTTTTCCAAACCATCATTGTACTTTCGGATATGAATTCGAATCTTTCCTTGAAATTTTTGACGGTAGCGTGATAAAATGTGATAACCTCGAGAGCGCTGACACGACATAAAAACCGCTGCGCATGCGCGAAATTTCCGAAAAACAAGATGCCGGACGTGCTAGTGTTACTCGTGCTTCAGAACACTCATACTTCTTTTCCCCCTAGCATTTCAGTCTGACTTTGATTGGAGATAGAGATCATGTATATTAATCTGTAGTCCATAACGAAAATGTCTGTGGCCTTCGGAAGAAAATTGACTCATTAATCATCATGATAAACGATGCTATTTTGG